TACTGGTGAAATTTTAAAGTTAGTACAATGGAGATACAGCGGCTTGGTTTTCGTGTGATCTTCTTAGGCGTTTACCTCCATTTATTGAAGAGAGGAAGTAAGTAGAGTACGGATAAAACTGCATAATGAGGATATTCAAAATTTGTGCTTCGTATCAGCTACCAATATGGTGATTAAATCAAGGTAGCATGTAACAAGCTTGAGGAGGCAAGGAAAGTGCCTAAAATCTCAGTCGGAAAACCTGGAGGTAAGAGACCGGGTGGGAGACCTAGGCGTGGATCAGACAATGGTATCAAAATGGATCTTAGATTGCGGAGTGTTGATTTGGACTAGATTGAACTGGATCACAAAATGGTCCAGTGACGGGCTGTTGTAAACAAGCCAATGAATCTTCAAGTTACATAAAGGACATGGAATAGCTTGAACAGATGAGCTACTGCCAGCTTCTCAAAACGGATTGCTACGTTCAATTTATAGTTACCTGGTTGGTGTGTAAGCTATGTCTTTAGCAGTCGATTTTCTTTTGTTGACAACGTTCGGAACGAATATTAAAAAAGATAGAATTGTACTATTCAAGAAAGCGACGTTTTGGAACGTAACATTATGGACCAGATGTGTATTACAAAGTCCCATTTATTAAAGTACAGAAATTTTGTTGCTATATAAAGAGTTAAATGGAAGTATGCCCTACAAAAAAGAACAACTTTCAATTTCTTTGGCTAAAAATTTTCAATATATAAGTCGTTGGTAAATTAATTCTATTATTGATATAAAACAACTTCTGTAATTACTTCTTCGTCGTTTGAATGAATTTTCAATTAGCGATTTCATCTTGCTTACAGGTTTATTTTTCTGTGTTTAATTTTGTTGCCGTCAGCAAGGAAGAAAATCTCTGTATAATTGTGTAGTACAGTTCCTTTGCAGTACCGTATTTTTCATGCTAAATGTAAAGATTCGAGGGTTGAAAATACGATTTAAAATATTATTTTGTGAGTTTTGTTTTGCGAGAAATGACTTCATTGAAAGCTACATACTTTCTACTATAATTTGAGGGTTCTAGATCCTAGGACGTAGCACTGTAAGGGCGTTGGTTCTGAATGCCTATTAATGACAATACCTTTACATGAAAATCTAATCAATGCATTCTGAAATTAATTAAAGTAGAAAAAATATACAAAATAGCACGCAGTAAGATACATCTTTTAGGATATTCTGTGATCGAGAAACTTGACACTTCTAAAAATCGACCTATAAATACTCGGAGGAGTGAAAACTTTATTGCAACCTCCACATCAGTAATTATTTATAAATCGGTCCATATATTCTGGTCGCTCAAACGCATTCGTAGGCTACAAATCAATGTTCATAACATTAAATTACTGTCTTCTCCATTCCCTTGCGTCACATACTATTCAATAAGTTTCTTTAACAAAATAAGTCATTACTGGAATGTTCGAACACACTGTAATTGCTTGGTCAGACTTTCATCGTCAAGTTTAATTTCTGTTGTTGCAATTCTAATGTGTCCCTCCGCGTGTTCTTAGTTCCTGATTTAACGCTTTTTATTAAGTTGGACTCTTGCTCACAGCGACAGGTATTACCAAGTATCTATATGATTAACAAATCATGTCTTCTGATATCAGGTAATTACCTTCAGTCATACAAAGTCATACTTTATTGTAACAGACTTACGCGATCCGCACAAAACACATCTGCGGGCCCCCGGTTGAGAACCCCTTTTGTACATTGTCTACGAACGCGGTAATTAAACTTAACACACTTCTGTGCTGTTAGGAATGTTCTGATTCATGAACAGTTCATTTATATATCAAATCTAAAAGTTCTTGACGATGGTGATAAGTCATTTGAATAACAATTTTCTTGGATATTATCCATCGTCTAGTAAATAAAATATAAAACGTAAAACGAAAAATATAAAAAGTAAAACGACGTTTCGGAGATGAGGCTCTATCTCCGAAACGTCGTTTTACGTTTTATATTTTATTTACTAGACGATGGATAATATCCAAGAAAATCTTTATTCAAATAATTCATTTATAAACTTGGACAAATCAAATTATGCAGAGCTACAATGAGCTCAGTGTACAGTATCTTATTCTTAACGTAGCAAGTAAGCCAAGTCAGAGGTGGCCAGCTCTATGTTGGCGGGAATCTCGGTGTCAACGAAAGGATTTTGAAGTTTCTGCGAAAATTTTAGAATATTCATAAAATTGTAAATGTTTAACTTTTTAATTGTCCGATAATACTTGCGACAAATCCACCTGAGCCAGTTGTTACAGAAGATGCAAAAACACAGTCGTAATCTAATTATTTCAGTTTCGAAATTTTGGGCAGATTCATACTGTGCTGCTACAAATTACGAACTCCTCCTAGTTGCCGGTCATCCAAGAAAAGTTTGGCGGTACCCGAGTAAAGAGACACTAATGTTTGGGAAAATAAATATTAAGTAAAATGATGTCATATAATTCTGTTACCATTCTATCTCGATTGGTTCTTTTCTCTTTAAATGTTTCATATGAGAACTGTGGAGACTGAACTGTAATAAGCCACCTGCCAAAGTAAGATGAAATTCAATATAACGCAGCTTGCTGTCATGGGGAGTAAAGTAAAATGAAATTCATCTCGACAGGGAGAAGCAGCAGTAGTGGCAGGTCTAAATCACATCTCAGAACTCCGCCGCTTTCTTCTGAATCGACCTCTACATGTTCTCTTTAATCTTCTTTTTCACTTTTACAGATAGAAAAAGACACAGACAATATACGAATCCAGAAGAGTTTTAAAAATGCACGACGATTATACGGAACATCGTCGGTGAATATGGGCATGCGATTATTTTTTGTAGCGAAAATGACAGTTTTCTGGGTCTTTGCGTCATTGTGTTGGCGGCAGCAAGCATATCTGAAACGTCGGTAACTTCTACCAGGCTACATGACGCAACAAACCAGAGGACAGCCACATTCAAACTCGTCGCCGTGATAACTTCAAATAAGTTATTTTTGTAGTGTTTTTAACATTTCATAATCTTTTTTGTTTAAATGCAGCTTAAGGCATGTACCGATTTTGGAACTATCTTGGATCTCCTGTGGCCCGGTAGAGTTCAAACTCGCTGTGCATTTTAATGATTCTCCTGAGTCCTTTTCAGTTAAATTGCGCGGCCTTTGACGGTGCAGATCTTACGACACGCATCTCCGCCTAAGGAATATAGGGCCCAACTGAATAGGACAGACAAAACTTTCAGTTTTAGAGGGCATTACCTGAAACGGGCTGTGGCGCGAATATTTTTGCAACGTTTCTTTGGAAACCGATCTTGCTATTAAAATATACTTAACCACCACCTTTATGCCCACATGAAAGCATTTGAAGAGTATGAGTAAATAATTTATTGAAAGACTTGAGGATATTCTATGCGATAATGAGAAATCGTTTCAAAAACGAAAAGCAGGAGAAGTGTTTTACTAAGGTTGTAACTACCTTAATGGATCAGAGTCTTTGTGACGTTCATAACCACTCATCTGGCGAATTAATTACCAGTCTTTCATGTACGCTAAAAGGTTAATTACCTTTCCATACCAGCCCGTCCCAGTACCATTTCTGAAACCAGATTAATTCATTGCACACCATCAAACCTTGGGTTTTCGATTAGTACTGTCCTCACATCCACACACAGCAATTTCCAGTAGTCTTTTCCATTCAGGTCATCTGATTAAAATCTTGTGTGCATTTTCTCATGCCCCCTCTTCGTGGTACGTCTTGTCACCTAATTTATTTGGCGAATATTACGAATTTAACGAAATGCTCTAACCAACGTTTTTGAAATGCTACTCGTAAAAGTAAGAAAAAAAGTCCGTCTCTTAGGCATATTTTTAGAATGTGGAAAGAATTCAGGAAACGCTGGGTTATGCAACACTTTTGTTTTTATGTAGTCAATGCGGTATATATATATATATATATATATATATAAACTGGCATTCTCAGATAATCCAAACAAATGTAATATTTCTGCTCTATTCTGTCGAATATTAGTGTGATGTCATTCTCAACATTTTATAGGTTGACTGTGTAAAGCCTATGTGCACCTGTGAATTAATACAAATTACTTACAGGGAAGCGATGACATTGTTTCGTACCTCCACACGGGTTGAAGTTTACAAAACGCGTTAAAAATATGTTTAATAGTAACTTTAATCTTACAGTACAAACTTATATTATGACAGGCTAGGAAAATTAGCATTCTGCCGTTCCCCGTTGAAAAAATAAGTATATTGTCCTCTAGGTGAACAAATAACTTAAAGAAATCATTTAAATATTCCGAAGTTGTTTAATTTTAAGGTAATGAGCCTAATCATTAACTTATCCTCTTCCTGAATACGTTATACACAGGTCGCACATGTGCCATCTGGAGGCCTATTATGGTTGTTTTAGTTTCTGTTCTTATTGTGGTGTCACTTTTTATCTGTTTGCTAACATTACAGCTTTCATTCGTTTAAATAAACCTTGATGAAAAGTCTTGTGCTAAGCAATTATGGTGAGCTCAACGTATTCATTTTCTTCAAACATACTCAACCATAATCTTTTAAATAAAATTTGTAGTCCTTGTGCTATATATCTCTGATTTCTTCAAAAAAATGGACGGTATTTTATCTGAGATGATTTTTATCGGGAGATCCATAATTCTCTTTTATTCGTCTTTTACTTATTTTACAGTACGTCGAGCTAATTTAAACGGCTTTCAGCCCTTGTTCTTCTTGCCTGCGGTGCAAAACAAATCGAAAGCTAGTAATGGCGCAGAAAGTTGAGTGCCACGAACCTGAATACGAGCGATGACGTTATGTAAGGTATAATAAACCAGGTTAAAGATAACATTTACAGATTTTTTTCCCTCTCATGAAGCTTACTAAGGTTTGTCGCGTTGTCCGCCTGGAAAGTAAATTGTTTCGTAAATTATATTGAAACAAGTATCATTTTCCTTCCTTTTCAAGTGTCTATTCTATCCCATTGGCATAATTTGACGGCTACCTTACGTCTACCCATCGAGGATGACAGCAACTGTGTTAATGACTGTGACAACTTTGTGGATTAAATTATGTAAGATAATTTGTTAAGCAACAGATGCCATTTATTTAAAAGGGTTGTGTGTACGTCTAATTTCTAAACAACAACCCAGAAGACAGCCATCTTCAGACTCCGTTTATACCTCGTCTCAAAGCACGGGGCCCTCCGAAATTCAAACCAAGTGCAGTGATGAAGCTTTAAGGTAGAAATAAGTCAGTTCTTGCATGTCTCCATATTCGCCATTTTGAAGAATTCTACTATATCGTGTTCGACAATATAGAAACTTTTTATTTGACACACTGTCGTCAAAGACAAAAACCAAACAGATATTTCTGACGTGAGGATTTCATTCGCCGCACAGCGGTTGGCTGTCATAATGTGGAATGAACTCTGGAGCCTGTAAAGCTACGAGACGATGTTCTGGCTTTAGGCCTTTACGTGGGTTAAGCTGTCCCGAAACAGCATGGTTGGTGTTAATGGTCTACCCGCCACGCCCCCTTCTCACTACGAGAATTAGAATGTGGACTGTGCCAGGGACTGCAAGTCGAGCGATGCTTACAGTTGGTCACTATGTGTCACGGAGGCAGTATGACCTCTGAAACGTCGGTCAACATCGACCAGACTACTCAGCGCAACAACCCAGAAGACAGAAATCTTCAAACTAAGAATCGCCCTGATGATGGAGGCAGTAAGACCTCTGAAACGTTGGTAAACATCGCCCAGACTACAAAGCGCAACAAGCCAGAAGACAGAAATCTTCAAACTAAGAATCGCCCTGATGATGGAGGCAGTAAGACCTCTGAAACGTTGGTAAACATCGCCCAGACTACAAAGCGCAACAAGCCAGAAGACAGAAATCTTCAAACTAAGAATCGCCCTGATGATGGAGGCAGTAAGACCTCTGAAACGTTGGTAAACATCGCCCAGACTACAAAGCGCAACAAGCCAGAAGACAGAAATCTTCAAACTAAGAATCGCCCTGATGATGGAGGCAGTAAGACCTCTGAAACGTTGGTAAACATCGCCCAGACTACAAAGCGCAACAAGCCAGAAGACAGAAATCTTCAAACTAAGAATCGCCCTGATGATGGAGGCAGTAAGACCTCTGAAACGTTGGTAAACATCGCCCAGACTACAAAGCGCAACAAGCCAGAAGACAGAAATCTTCAAACTAAGAATCGCCCTGATGATGGAGGCAGTAAGACCTCTGAAACGTTGGTAAACATCGCCCAGACTACAAAGCGCAACAAGCCAGAAGACAGAAATCTTCAAACTAAGAATCGCCCTGATGATGGAGGCAGTAAGACCTCTGAAACGTTGGTAAACATCGCCCAGACTACAAAGCGCAACAAGCCAGAAGACAGAAATCTTCAAACTAAGAATCGCCCTGATGATGGAGGCAGTAAGACCTCTGAAACGTTGGTAAACATCGCCCAGACTACAAAGCGCAACAAGCCAGAAGACAGAAATCTTCAAACTAAGAATCGCCCTGATGATGGAGGCAGTAAGACCTCTGAAACGTTGGTAAACATCGCCCAGACTACAAAGCGCAACAAGCCAGAAGACAGAAATCTTCAAACTAAGAATCGCCCTGATGATGGAGGCAGTAAGACCTCTGAAACGTTGGTAAACATCGCCCAGACTACAAAGCGCAACAAGCCAGAAGACAGAAATCTTCAAACTAAGAATCGCCCTGATGATGGAGGCAGTAAGACCTCTGAAACGTTGGTAAACATCGCCCAGACTACAAAGCGCAACAAGCCAGAAGACAGAAATCTTCAAACTAAGAATCGCCCTGATGATGGAGGCAGTAAGACCTCTGAAACGTTGGTAAACATCGCCCAGACTACAAAGCGCAACAAGCCAGAAGACAGAAATCTTCAAACTAAGAATCGCCCTGATGATGGAGGCAGTAAGACCTCTGAAACGTTGGTAAACATCGCCCAGACTACAAAGCGCAACAAGCCAGAAGACAGAAATCTTCAAACTAAGAATCGCCCTGATGATGGAGGCAGTAAGACCTCTGAAACGTTGGTAAACATCGCCCAGACTACAAAGCGCAACAACCCAGAAGACAGAAATGTTCATACTGTATTTGTTTTACTGGTATTTTTTGACACCTTGTACCGGAGTGGGAGACACGTGCCTGTACTTCCGATTCCTGTTCCAGAACGTAGTCCTCATTCATTAGTTCGTCTTGCTGCCTACTCTGTCGTATTGTTCCTACCCTCGCCGAGCTTACGGCGTTTCTTCGGAATACTTGTTTCTCCATTCAGAGATTTTCTGTCCCCAATTTATTATTTTTGTCTTTTGTTGACGTTTACAAAAACAAATTCTCAGTTTCCTTTGCAGTTCTTTATTTCCATTTGTGTCGTTAAGAGCTGTTCAATACGATTCATCACTTAACAGATATAAGCCAAATATTTGTTAATAGAAAAAGGTCTTTACGCAAGAGTCCAGAGTTTTTATCAACTCTTCACATATTCAAAAATATTTTATCATGTAAAATGTTATGCAATAAATTATACACGTGAGATCTCTCAGTTCGTTCTTTTACTCTTATATTCACGCTTAACATTCTATATCAACTTTCAGCCTTTCCCAGTCCGACTGCGTGACCCGCACATTTAGTAATAGTTATAATCTATGTAATATTACGAAAAATAAAAATAATTTCCGTAACGCTTTGAACTTAATACAGTTTAACAACGTGTTGGTATGTAAAAATGGAATATGCCTCTGAACAGAAACATCCCCACCTGTGGTGTGTAATGTTACAAAAAGGATGCTACACGATAACAGACAAGAGCCACTCTGTTCAGGGGACTGATTGTCGTCTGTGCACTGAGGTACGATAATTTAGGGACAACAGGCTCTTCACTAAGGAGTCGTGTGGAATAGCTTAGCAGCATTCCATCTGACGTCCACACAAGGGGCATTTGACTCAGGCCTGTTGCCTTCCCTAGCGTCTCCTGTGACAGAAGGCTCAGTGGAATGTTCAGTGTTACAGTGTGTTCATTTTGCATGTACGATGTTGTGGAAAGTAACTTGTAAGTTATCTTGAAAGTAGTTCCTGGGCTTCCTTAGAAGTTGTAAATTTACGGGACATTCATGTAGAAACGAAGCCTAAATATGTACATTTTCAATGTTCAATTTAATCTTAATTTTGAAAGTGATGGACTTGTAACTTGTTCCTGACCTATCTTGAGATTTTATATTTTCCATTATAACAGATGGTTTTGTACGTTTAGCAGTTTATATGCATCTGTTAGTATTCTTTTATAATTGTTTTAGAACAATTACAATTTTCCGTTCGCAGTTCGTTCACGTGTTATGTTAGTAAAGCATACGCTTTTAAGATTTATATTCAAATAATATGAGTTCATGTTTCCAGTAAGACATCCCGGATTACGAACTAGAGACTTCAGTTCTTGAGAGCTTACTACAGATGACGTTGCAAGAGAGGTCCACTCTTGAACAAGGTCGTGCGGTATAAACTTGTTTACCGAACAATTGATTAGAGTATTTTTTTGGAGAAATACGATCGTAGGCCACGTATTCAGTATGAAAATTATTCCGGATACTTCCGCCACAAATGGGAGGCAGCTGTGCCCAACGTAGGCGAAAGGGATGCAAAATACTTTAATCTGCCTCTGAAAAAAACAAACTAGGGGTGAAGGGATGGGAAACTCCTTCAGCTATGATGTAAATACGTGAAACGAATTTCTAAGTTGTGATTTCTGCACACACACACACACACACACATATATATATACACACATACAAACGTGCAATAATGTTTATTAAGAAGTAAGAAGCTGTGTTGAACGGAAAAATATTCAAGTCTCTTAGGATTTCTTATGGACAGTTGTACTGTATTAATGAGTTTGTAAGTAAAGTAAAGCTTCCCGCTACATTGCCTATGCAGGCATTTGGGAGGAGCAGAGGTATAATTCCTACTCTTTCTTGACCTCGGCACCAGATGGGGGTGAGTGGTCGGCATCACGCCATTTGTTTCTATATTTTTAATTTTCTTTTAATTTCACGTTTCAGCCGGGAATACTCTTATTACCGTCATTCGCCTATACACAGCGGCCGCCGGGGAGGGGGGGGGGGGGGGGGGGTTGAGGGTTGAGGTTAGAAGTGGTCCGTCAGGTAGCTCTGTGTGAGCGGTGGTATGAGCAGCCAATCCCCTTTTGTCCTTTTGTTTTCCCACCGACTGACTGTCCCAATGCTGTGTTTGTAACGCGCGCTTTGTCTCGTGTTTTGTGAGGTTAAGGTATAGCAGTGTGTGGTTTTCATCGTTGCATTTGTTAATAAACATCGTTTACATGAGGCGAAGATCTTAAAATTAAGTTAATTCTCTGCAATATGCATGCATGCTTGCATACGTAGTTGAGTGTGTGTTATGGTGAACGTCATGGTTCCGGAAATGTTTTGAATTGTGCGAAGTCGTATTAATGAAGATCTGAGACTCTGGTGTGTGTTGCAAAGTGTAATTAACTGTTTGACTTCATAAATCCGGATTTCTGGAGCCGTAGAGAGAGGTAAGTGATTGATTATGAGGGTATGAGAACAGTGACTTAACCCAATGTAATTTAAGCAAGGGCTGTCCAAATAGCTGCCTGAGAACCACGTTCCTTAATTTTCTATCTTTGTTGTTGGTCTTTTGGTTTGTAATTTCCTGTCAACTTGTAGGTAGAAACCATCGTTTCGGAGGAACGTGCTGCCTCCATCTGAAATGTTATTCCCCACTTATTATTCTTAAAGCAGTGGGCCAGGAATTGGCAAATAATTGGGCCTACAAGAAACGTCTTCGTTACATTTTGTTATCTTGTTAGAGTTAGATTATGGGCGCCATATACCTTAATCGTGTTTTCTTAACTGAGGTTTAGTCTAGTAACAGAGAATACACTACATAGTTTATTCTGTTTGATACTTTCCCAGTATGTCAGCATACTATTTATTGTAATAGGCTTGGCTGATGTATCTCGTGTTAACATGGGCAATGAACAATCTAAATGGCCTACTACTTGCATTTTCATTGGTAGAGCAATCCAACAGTAGTTGCGTTTTGTTGTTCACTGATAAAGTTGAACGCAACTTCCACTTCTCGCATCCCGGGGAGGGATTGCTGTAGAACACGTAAGACGATTTTATTGTTTTGTGGAGCGATACTTGATTCGTATCGGGAGAACCTTGTAGTACTTGGAGCCGAGTGAGTTCAACTTTACCAGTGAAGGCACTGTACATAGATGTAAATGTGATTCAAAATATAAATATATGATTATGTGTTAGTTTGTACGTACAGTTAATAGCGTACGTTATGCCATAAGCATATGCTTTGGTTATTCTTCATGATTTCTTTCCTAGTTTTGTCTTTCTCTGTCTAACCTCTCCATCTTTCATGTTTCTTTTTTTAATCGTAAGGCTTTAACTTTTAGACTGGGGCTTAGTCAAAACTTATTGAGGACAGAAATAAAGAAGCTTGGGGAATACTGTCTTTGAACACGAAGAGAAATTTAAACGCAAGTTTCATCAAATGAAGAAGTCTCCAGTGTTATGTTGCTAGATTTGTACATGTGATCTCGGAATGCATAGGGACTGCAGGAGCAAAGTAAAACTTAGGTTCCATAAACAACTCTCCTGTTAAACAACCAAAATGATTGAAAGCAAAACATTACATTTCAGGCGGCTTTGTTAATTCTAATACAGATTTTCATGGAATAAACGTGTTCCTCCTTAAATACTTTTTATAGTTTGGAGCTGTTAAAAATAATGAATTTCAGTTGTTCGTAACTTATTAACGATGTTAACTCTGTTCTTACTTAAATCTTCTTTTAAAAAAGTTAAATTCCTACAAGCAAAAAATCATACGAGGTTAGTTCGGAGATCTTGGCGATCAGATTACTGGACCACGACGACCGTTTTTCGTAAAGCTGATTCGTAGTTTGGTCAAAAATGTGGAGTCATCTCAAGGTTCTGGAAGGATATACCGCGCCTTGTCTCCAGAAGCACGTACTCAAAAGTGGCAACAAATTCGTCAGGAAATTTAAATAATTATCAGCAAGTAACTGTTGTTCAAACACGAGTAGTCCAAGCAGTTGATCTCGAATCAGACCGCACAAAGAATTATCTAAGAACAGATGTTGAAATGCTCTTTTAAAGATAGCGTGAAGATTGTCATCGGACCATAAGTGGAAATTTGGACGCATCCTAAAACGTCAGTAGCTCTGCAATAGTTGGAAATAAATCGTATCTCGATTTATTGTTCGCTACAAATTGCCTCCCAGATCACCCATTGGCGAATGGCAGACTAGTTGTGAAACACGCAGTGTATAATGATTGGCAGTAACAACATTATTCTCCTTTACCACCACGTCTAATCCGGCCACATAATCTGCTAACAAATGTGTACCGGGCGGCCTTTTCTCGGGAATGAAGTGACCGGAAAGCAAAACTAACCACTCTCTTCCATTTAGTGTCGAGATTAAAATTGCTTGCAGCTACACCTTCTCTCCCTCACATGTCTTTGTGGCGTGATTATTAATTAAGCACAGGAGTAAATTTACGAGTAATTAGAATCACAGGCCTGTGTGAAGTACAGCTTATTCTGCTGTAGGCTATGGACACATATTTCTATGCGTACGGAGCTGGACACTTGTAGCCAGTACAAAGGGGGGTTTAAATACAAGTTCCTCCCATTCTGTGTAACTCTGGTGATTAATTACTATTTATTAGGGGCACAGACGAAACCCTGGACTCGAGCCAGATTAACAAGAGACTGCGTTTCTCGTGAAAGATGGCCGAGCAGTTACTGGAGTCGATTAGTTCATCAATACGCATAATATCCCTGTATAATTCTACACAATGAACTAATCCCACCTTTTATAGGCATATGACTCTTCCTTATCACTGTTGTTTAATTGATGCAAAACGATTTTCGTGATGTCAGCGTGCTTATAAGCCAGTCCTGACTCCGAGAATGTGAAAGACGAGGACCTGCCCTCTTGTACTTAAAAGTGGTTAAAAACGAAATTAAATACACGGAATATTAAGAACATATTAAGGAATGCCTAGTACCATTTAGGTTGTTTATTTATTAACTATGCTGTCAGTAAGTGAGATTACGTACCCTCGAATGATAGGCTGATTAATGAATAATTTATCGGAACGGATGTCGAAGGAAGCGATATTTTCCTAATTTAAGTTCAATCCTTAACATTTTCTTTACTGAATACCAATCCTTCGCGTTCTTTTATATCTTTCACGTCCTACAATCCTTCTTGATATAGGGGAGTCATCTCTCACACGGCTGTTGGCTAGTCACCGTTTCAGAGGTCCTTGCAGCCTCCATAATCAGGGCGATGAGTGATGATGGAGGCAGTAAGGACATTGGTAAACCTCTACCAGACTATGTGACGTTACAACCCAGAAGAGAGACATCTTTGAACTCACATCCGTGAAAACGTCGCATCCTATTTAATTTTTATTCTTTATCGCTGAGGCCTGGTGAAACCGTGAAGTAATAGGGCTGTAATTGCCGGAAGACACAAATTAAAGCAGAGACTTTGAGATCATGATTACAAGATGATCATTTTTCACGAACGACTACAGGCTCTTTCTTGTACACTGTACAGTTCTACTATGAGAGTAAGATGGTAGCACTGCAATCAAGAATGTCACCACGCGTTTGAAGTTTCCAGGTTTAATTTATCGTCTACTACTGCGGAAAGAAGAAACTAAGGTAAACATTATCGACAGACATTGCACAATGCGATTTTAATAAATATTAACTGATTATAGATTTAGTTAAATCGAATTTTTAGTAACTGCAAAATTATTTATAAATGTTAATAACATCAAATAGAAATAACTAGAGGGAATTTATTTAATACCTTCTGAACGGGAGACACGTGCGAATTGCAAACGTCGGAGAAAATAGAATTCACTACGCTTTGTTCTTTTATGGAAAAACCACTTCCGCATAGGCATGTATTTTCTCCTTTGCCGCACGCTTTTACCCTTAAAACATCGTCTAAAGAGGGAAAATACCGTGATCAACGGGGTCACTGGTAGGCCTGTTATTAAGCTAATGAGGCCTCTGAGGCTGCGATAAGCTGGGTCTGTGACTAGGATGTTGGAAACAAACAATGCTGAAATATTTTGGTGTGGAAATTGCGACTTATAAGACCGAGAAAGAGATCGGATGATAAAATTAAGATTGATCATAAGAGATACATCGTGAGAATCGGATTAACATGACACTGGCCCAGTGACGGGCTTTTGTTGAACCTATGTCAGTATTAGGAGTCAAAGAGAAAGGAAAAGGAATGGTGAACAACTGTATGGCCTCTGCCACTCGCTTCCTTGTATTGGGCTACTCAATAATTGCAGCTTCTGTGCAAAGTGAAGTGCTTCGCCATTTCGCCTCTGCTGCAGTGGTCGCTTCATGAGCCTCAGACGCGTGATGCTGGGTTATCGATTTCTGCTACGCTCTGTTGCGAACGAATCCTAAAAGGGTATCATATATCGATTTAAGCATTAAATTAATGGTTTTTACGTTCAGGCATCGTAGTGGAGCGGTTTTGACTCTAATTAAATCATCGAAGTTTTATCCTCAGTTTCAGACGTTTTTTACGATCTACATTGGCAGGTCTTAGGTGCTCATTGCGACTCGAAATAAAGTAGACGCGTTTTGTATTTATTGTCATGACAGTGGCTTAGACTCATGTAATGTAGCGTGGGGAGAATTTGCTGATGGTTTGCTGGCTTATGCTGTTATTTGTTTGTGTAGACAGTTCAGTGGTAATTTTTATACTGAGTAATGAATAAACACGTGATTGACAGTGACTGTCTGAGAAGTTGTAGTGTAATGGAAACAGAAATTTCAATAGATCTAATAGCAATACCAAATTTCTCCCTTGGATTTGTCCAGACCCAGTTTTCTTGTTCTAGAGGTAACCATGATCTGTTCTTCTATATTTTTATTCGTATTGTCCTCTACAGACTTTAAAGTGTCCGTCTTCCAACAATTCCCGAATAACAGTCTTTATCTCTCTTGTTATAATCTTTAGGAAATGATGTAACTGTTTAGGCTACACTTATGTAGCAACTTTATCATGTACGTTCCTCAATTTTATGTTTAAATAGTGGTAGTTTTTGGTTTTCTCTATGTTAAGTTCCATATTGTTATCATCACACCACTGATGTACGGAATTAATATCTGCTTGAAGAGCTTTGCAGTCACCCACAGATTTAATATCACGATATATTTTCAAGTCCTCAGAAAATAAGAGAAATTTAGAATACTTAATTTTGTCACAAAGGTCGTTATTTAATATTTTTATTGGGATAGGTCCCAAGGTAGAGCCTTGTGAAACTCCAGATAACACCGAGTAAAAAGAAGAAGACTGTTCTAAACAAAGGCAGATCTGGATGATAAATGACTTTGGAACCACTTGATATAAGGAGAAGATAGTCCAAAGTATCCCGGGAATGATTAAGTAATTAAGAGACTGTTAGGTGCTTATGGATTGTTCGTCTT